CAATTCATCTCTGTGTGCTGGTTCTGAGGAAGTCTGTTTAAAAGATAAATGAAATCATGCACAAGCAGCAAATAACCACAAGTCTCTTAAATAAAGCAATCATTCCCCAATAATTTTTTCTTCACTCTTAAGTAGGGTACTTTTCAATACCTGGAATTTGAAGGTTTTTTATGGGGCTGTTGGTTTGGTTTACTTTAGCTTTGTAATGACTACTATTTCTTATTTTCTTTAGTGAAACAATTTTTCAAGAACATTTGTCTCCTTTTCTTCTAATAGCTATCCCATTTTCCATATCTCTTTCTCACAAGGCACATCTTTCTTTCAAAAACTATAGGTGTGTGCCCAGCCGTTCTACCAGTCTTTCCCTGGACAGAAATAAATTCTTATTTTTCAAAGTAATTTTTTAAAAGAAGTTTATCTTAATTGAACCGATACCCATGCGGATACTTCAGCTTCACTGTCTCTTAGATTCATTTGAAAACGGAAATCAGATAGAACCTCACTGGCTTCAATTCACCTATTTCAGAAAAAAAAAAATAATGAGCCCTTTCAGCTAAAGACAAGCGGTGGAAACTCGATGTCGTGAGAATTGTTACATCTTACATGAAAATACAAGACATAATTCTATGAAGAGGGCCACAAATCATTAAAACATAATCATAATCCTTGCCCTTTCCCTTTCTCCCAGGTACACCCCAAATCATGGGGCTCCAGGCATTTCCTAGTCAGAAAGTGTTGAACTGAGAGGTTGTGCATCTGGTGATGAGTATATTTTAAAATGATGTACTCTCCAGAGCTCAACCCATAGGAGGTTCCATTACTTTGTCCCACCCGCCCTCCGGATGTAGTGTGAAAGAATTAGAGGCTAAAGTTCCTGCAGCTGTGGCTCCTGGGTTGGGAACCCCTGGCACTGCCAGTCGACTAGCTTTACCTTCATGGAGTGTGGGGGGGGGATCTCAATGCATAGGGGTCACCCAGGCCACAGATGTGTTCCGACTGGTTAAAAGGGGGACTGTAATGCGGACTTGGCTGTTTAGAACTAAAATTCACTGCAGGCTCCAGGAACAAGTACACATCAGTAGTAAGGGCTGTTTAAACCATTGGGGACAGCCCTATGTTTAGATTACATTAATTCATAAATATTATACTAAATACCACTTAGACTTAAATGACTTCAAAGATAACGCATTATAATATGGCTGTCCAGAGAGCACTAGTCTTTATGTCTCCCAGTAACTCAGTCTTTGCTGTCTTTTATCCTGCCAGACAAGACCAAAGTTATGAATGGATTGTGGGCTTCTTCGTGTGTGATCTCCTGTGTATGTGTGTGTGTGAGCAGTCATGGATATTTGTGTGCATGTATGTATATTCAGTCACTGACTCTGTTTGTTTTCCAGGAAATAAAAAGAAGAAAAGGGAAAAATGAGTAAAAAGTGAGAGAAGGGAAAAATTAGGCTAGTGGGTGACATGCTTCCTCCTTCAAGGGAGAAAAATTCTATAGGAAGGGGCAAAGTTGGTCCTGAGCTCACTTCTGCTGCTACCCCAGGAGTTTGCCTCTCTCCCCTTTAAATCAATAGTACAATGTCTTTCTCTTTGGAGTCTGGAAAAACCATCTTTCTCAAAGTGCTTCTAATGGGGGAAAAAGAAGACTCGGAGTTAGCCGCGAGAGTTTACATTAAACTGGGATTTCTTCTTTGGGTGTTGTTTTTTCAAATTGTAATCCTGGGCTTTTTTCCCCCTTTCTCTCTCAGCCTAGCACCCAGATCTCCCCCTACCCAATTGCTTTCTGGTCTTCAGAGGGTAAATTTATCTTTGCAGTAATTATCCCAGTCCACAACTGCTATTTTCTGCTGCCCAGCCCAACAACATATCTCTGATACTGCTGGGTTTGCTCCACAACACCCACCCACTCCCTCCTCCACAGACTCCCAATTTGACTGGAGTAATTGCCTTTTAAGGTTCACTCTACGCATGGCAGGTATTCCATTAACCCTTAGAACTCCATCCTTCTTTAGTTACCTGAAATGGCAGGTGGCCAACAAATGGATATCCACCTGAAATCGCATGCATTTATTTTTTACTTATTTTTCTTTTTTTGTTTAACCAATAAAATACATATGCCATCCACACTAGAGGCCACTATCCTGTGATGTCTCTCAATTTTATCCCAGTGCAATTCATTAGAAGTTAGAAATTCAAGAAGGGGAGAGAAAGAGCCACAAATATGCCCTGAAACCAGGCTTAACAAAGGCATGTTTCTATCCCTAGCCTCATGTTGTCAATTTAGAGTTGGGGAAAATCTAGAAACCGAATGGATCCCTTATTCTCCAAGCCTCATCACGCTTTTTGACTTAGCAGTAATTAATCACCAATGGCAAGCGAGTAATTTTTTAAGGTGGCCGGAGGCTTATTTTGTCAGGGTTAGCTAATAAATCAGGCTGTATCACTGAAGGAGGAGTTCAAACTCTTCCAGGACTGAATAAAACAGACCTCGGAAACTGTCTCATTTCTTCAGCTCTCCCGGAGCTTCCAGGCGCTGTGAGGGATATTGTGGCCCAACCTTGCCTATAAAAATCTGAGGGAAGGAGAAGCAGGAAGTTTCATAGGAAAAAATACATGCTCAGGCTCGGAAGGGTGAGCTGCGACAACGAGGCACCCAGCATGCTGGAGCCAACGGGCCTGCCTGCCATGGACTGAGTCAGTTTAGGGGAAGAATTATTTAGAAAATGAAGTTTTGCTTGTCCTAGGAATCCTGGCCAGAATTATGTATGTATATATACACGATATAACTATATCATAACCTTCTCTACCTTCCTGATGCAAATGATGATAATTCTACTTCTTTGCTACATTACGAGGGAGTCCAAATAATGTTAGAAACAGTTATGATACCAGCAAGAAGGGATTGTGAGAAGAAAGCAAGGACTATTCTTAAAGTTTATCTTCATTTGAAATAAAGCAGCAAATAAAGTGCTCCAAACCAGACCTCATAGGAAGCTCAGCTCTTCACAACTGTCTTTTGCCTCTAGTGGGTTCTGATTTTTTTTTCTAATTTTAAAATCTCAAATAGTCACATGAACTTATCATTAAGAAGAGTAAAGGATTTCCCTACTTATGCCTTTTAATTTTCATTATTACTATTTTTAAATCTGAAGGCATATTAGAATGACAAAGATAAAAACATCGATTAGCTTCTAGGGAGCTTGATTGGAAAGGGAAAAACTACAAAGATATGGTTGATTTTGGGGGGGGGCACAGATGTCATTTTAAACACTGTCTCCCTGTTCCACCTTTCCAGTTTCTCTTCTGAACATTTTCTCCATGTTGGATAAAGGTTGGTTTCTCCATTTCAGCCCCTACCCTCACCCCACCCCAACAAACCCAGTATATTTCCATTCTGCTGTTTTTGTGCTACTCAACATGCCATTAACTTTAAGATTTACTCCTCAGCAGGCAAGCTGGAAGATGCTAAAGCCAATAAAAACTGCTCTCTGGGACTCCAACTATGAAGAGTTTGGAGCTGTGCTTAGTATTCGGATGAAGGGAGGGCTGGAGAAGGAGGGAGGTTGTGATAGTGAAAACCACTGCTGCTTAGAGAGCCAGACAGCTCTGCGCTCTGCACCTAATGTGCCGGAGGATCAGCTCTGTTCATAGCCCATTTGTGGCCAAGGATGAGGCTGCTCTCTGTGTGTGGGTGGGTGTGCGTGTGCATGTGCGCGTGTGTGTTTTCATCATTAAAACCACCAGCTCTAACACAGCATCTTCAGTGGCTCTCCACACTACTGTTTATTAAAAACAGAATGTCCATCCACATCCCTTACAAGTTCCTTAGACTGGTGCTTCTTCCATGCCTGATGATCAATCTCTCTCAGAAAGCATTTAACTTGCCCACACAGCTCCAACCCTGATTAATCCCCGCTGCACATCCTATACATTACTGTTAGAGAGCGGAGCACTGGGCTAATTTCATCACCCACCAGCCACCCACACACATTCTACAACTGAACACATTTGGGGTTCTGCCTTGAAGATAATAAAACAAGGAGAAAACAGGCAGGCTGCAGACAATTCCCATGACCACTTTCCTAAAAAGTTGCTGGGTTTTAATTCTTTGATTATTCTGTCTCCCCTCCCCCAAGCGCTCACTAGCAATGATTGCTTCAAGGGAGAGAAATAATGTAGTATAAACCTCTCTGCATGGTGAGTTTGGGATGATTTAGGCTACACCCTTTAAAATGCATATCTTGCACACACAGATTTCCCCCCCAGAGCTCCACTTTTCTGAGAAAGGGGTATCATCCAGGCTTCCCCACTCCACCCAGGGGATGGCTGGTTTCTTGCTAATTATTGCCTTAGGTTTTGTCCCTTCTTCCTTCAAATATCCACCTCCCTCTCCCCGCCACTCACACCACAGCCGAATTGTTGAGGCACACTGCTAGACAGGGAGAGTTTACTGTTAAATTGATAGCGAAATAAAAATATCTCTGAATTTGTCACCTCTCTCCTTTTTAGACGGCTGCGCTCCTGCTACTCTGGCCCGGAGCGGAGGAGGAGACCACTGAATCTCATCTTAGTATTTTCAGCACCACGGCGATGGACAGCACCCTCGGTCCCCGGCCGGCTGCGCGCCTGCCAGTCTGCTGCTCAGCGTCCCGGGCTCGGCTGGTGCAGCTGTCCCCATCCCAATCATTCAAGTCGCTGTCCCCAAAAATACAAGCCCCGTTTCCCCTCAATCCTCTCTCTTTCTCTTCATCTTCTGCCTCCGCTGCTCTCCCCACGGTAAGGCTTCTATCAGCTCCTTTCCTAAAACCCAGCCTTGCCCCAGCAAACAGCTCCCCACGCACCCCAGTCCTGGTCTCTGCTGCCCGAGCGCCTCCTTCCTCGGCGTCCGCCCGAGGCTCCCTCTCGCGCCGTCTCCCGGTCGTCCGTCGCCGCCGGCCAGCCCGCCCGCCCGCTCGCTCCTTCTCCCGGGCAAAGTTGGGAGGGTAAGGTGCACTCACCTTTGTGCATGCCTGTGAACCTGTCCTTCAGAACCGTAAGCTCGTAGATTTTGCCGAACTCCTCGAAGAGGGGCTTGAGGTCCTTCTCATCCAGGTTGCGGGGGATCTGCCCAATGAACAGCTTGATGGCATCGTGGTCCTTCATGGGAATGGTCGACGGGTTCCCCGGGCTGTGGCTTAATCCGTTCATGTGCCCGGCGCTGCCCGGACTGCTGCCGAGCCCGTTGGTACTGAGGCTCGCGTTGTCAGCCTGTCCGTTTGCTAACGTGGCCATCTTTATATACATAGAGAAAATCTTCTTTCCTTTTATTCTTTCTCGCTCGCACTCTCTCGCTCCTCTCCCTCGCAAGCTCGCTCGCGCTCACACACGCACACGCATACACACACTCGGGTTCTCTCCCCCTCGGTTTCTCTGTACCTCGCTCTCTGCTCGCGCTCTCTCTCTCTCTCTCTCTCTCTCTTTCTCCTCTCTTCTCTCTCTCGCTCGCGCTCGCGCTCTCTCTCCCCTCTCCCCCCTCTCTCTCTTCTCTCTCTTTCGGTCTGATCTGATTTTTTTTTTTTTTTTTTTTTTTTTTTTTTACATTGAACAGACAGGATCTCTGTCCTTTCCGTTTAAACAGGCTGGACCGGTTCAAGTTCCCAGTCAGACCAGGGGTGGGGGCGGCGAGTGTGCGCTCGCGAAGGAGGGGGACGCGGGGCCCCGAGAGGGAGCTATGGGCGGGGGGACTCCCGCGCAGCGGCGGGCGGTGGCCCGGAGCAGGGCGGCGTGGGGCGGTGCCGCCCCGCGCGCCTCCCCCGTCGGCGGCCCCGGAGAGCAGCGGTGGTACAGTCCGAGACGGCCCCCGGCTATAAATAGCGCCAGGCGCATGGCTCTTCGGGAGGCGCTGAGATTCCGGCGCGGCGGCCGCGGGGAGCGGGTTCCTGTTAGAAACAGGGTTGTTGGCCTCATCTTTGCCTTTTTGGGGTTCTTTTTGTAATAGCAGCAGGTGCAACTTTTTTGTATTTTAAAAACATAGGTTTTTCACTTTCGTGTGGGTATGTAGGGGGTCGTTATCCACCGAGCTGTGCTCTATTAGGGCGCCAGACGGGCGAAGCAAAGGCAGGGATGGCGGGCGGGGCGGCGGCGAAGGTGGAATGGGTGCTTTTCTCTCCCATCTGGTTCCTTCTATTTATTTAGACTAGAAAAAGCCAGCCGGCTTGGAGGGAGTCCGCCCAGCGATCTGAGTGCTCATTGATCAGTGTCGAGAGAAAAAAAAGCTACATAAATATATATTATGTGGATAAATCTATAGACAAGAGCTCTTTTTCGCGCGCGCGCGCTCTGTCTCTCCGTCTCCGCTTTTTTCCTCCTCGCTTTCCCAACCTGCCTGAGCAGCCCCAAATCTTCGCCCTCCTGCACGGCATCTACCGCCACCTGAGCCACCTGAGAGGACGGGACTGGGGAGCAGTTGGGCCGCTCTGGGGGGCGGGGGACGGGGCGTAGAGATTCAGGGCCAGACCCTCGTTCCAGCCCGCCTGCGAAGGCTGGGGGTGGGTGTTTCCGTCCCGGACGGCCTCTCCCTCCCCGAAGAGCGGCGGCTGGTCCGGCAGGAGGCTGGCGGGAAGAAGGTAGGAGCCGGGTGCCTCGGCCCGCTCCGGGGAAGGTAGCGAGCTCTGCGCGCGGTGGTCTGTGAGGCAGAGCGAGGGACCGGCTTCATTTTGCCCTCGTCTGCTTAACTGGTTCAAATTGCAAAACAATTTTTTTTTCCTTAATCGACCATCAAAGAAATAAAGCCCCCGAGTCGCTCTTCGGGCTGCGGCTGGACCCAGACTCGCGCGCCGTGCGCTGCCCCCAACAGGCTTCGTTTGCGGCGCCTTCCGCTCCAGAGTGCGAGGCTAGGAGTCGCGTCTGCGGGCGAGAGCCAAGGGTCCGGCCGCCCAGCCTGGACTCTGCCAGGTTCCCCGCCAGGCCCGCCGGGGACAACATCGGCTGCGCGGGAGAGGGAGTGGCTGGCGCTGGAGCGGGTCCAGGCAGTCCCGCCTCTGGGGGTAAATGCTGGTGGTGAACTTGGGTTGGGAGAGCAGATTTTCATTTTAATAATATTAACCTGCACCCCACCCTCTCCCACAGTTGCTTTTCCAGGACACTATTTTCTGGGCTTCAGAAGCTGGGCAAATTAAAATAACGCGCCGCTCCCCTGCGGGGTTGCTGGGCAGAGCTGCTGGCCCGACCCTGGCCTGGCCCCCACCACTCCTTTTGGACGTTCTGGGTTTCTCTTTTCTTGCCTTACATGACGGTTACTAGACGATATGTTTGAAATTTTATTTAAAGAAATGAGACCCCCAGCTGCCGGAAAACCGAGACCAAGCCCGGTTGGTACAGCCACAACGCAGAGCTCTCCAGCGCCAGGAGGAGGCCTGAGGAGGCCCTGAGGTTTGCAGCCCCAGGCCCAGAGCCCACCTGGGACGCCTCTCCAGGAGGATCCTGGGCCCAAACCGCACAGCAAGTACTATTCTGTAACTGTGGAACTTCATCTTTTCATTTAAGATTTTCCTGCCTTTGCTTGATGTAATCGTGTGTAAGTATAGTTGATTCATAACTCGGTTCCCAGGCTTACATTATCTGGTGTTATGTAATGGCCTAAGACTCATCCAAGTTGATGGAATCAAACAGAAACTCACACAGAGAGCCTCTCTGCCATGTGGCTGTGTGCTTGGTGTGCCTGTGAAGTGCTGTAATGAGGAGCATGTCCCTTGTAGGCACACGGAAGGTTTGAGTGTGTGGCTTGGAGGTATGTGCTGTGTGCAGTCAGGGCTGTGGCTGCTTGTGTGGATGTGGTGTGGATGTGTACATAAACCCTGTGTGTAGCCATACTCTACTCGTGTGTGTACACACACCAGGCTGAGACTTCCTCCTCCCCTTTCTTTCAGGACACATCAGCGGCCAGTAACTTTGTCCAAAATATCTTCTCCGACAGCACTTTGTGGCACTGGTGTTTACCACCCAGGATTTCACAGCAGGAGTGGAATATATTTTCTGCCATAACAGGAGTTTAGGAGAATAACTTCTACTTAAGGTCTCTCTCCTTGTCCCCCTACCTCCTCAAAATGAAGCAAGAACAAGGGGAAGTGAAGAGAGCAAGCTGAGTAGAGCTGAGAAAGGAGGGTCCTGCACAGAGAGGGGTGGCTGAGGTTCCCGCTTCACTCTTTCTGCTACCACCTCAGGCCCCCTTTTGAGTAAACAATTCACAGGTGTTTCATTATTCATATTATTATTAATAATAATAGCCCATACATAAATAAAAGCAGTCCCTGGGCAGGAGTGGGTGGAGTTGGTGGCAGAAGGGGGCATCTGGTTATTTCGGATGCCTGTGCAAACTCCATGTGGCACAGGGCCAGCTCCTGCCAGGACTGTGCCTCTGCCCCCTGCACGCTGGCCCAGTCCCTGCCTCTCCACGTGTGGACGGAAAGCTGTGGAGAGCTCTTTTTTCCTTCGGCGAATATTCCTCACCCATCCATTTCTCCCACCTGCGGATGGCTTATTTTGGATTTGGGCTGTCTTTCCCTCACCTCGCAGCTCACTGGCAGGTGTTTGGTGAAATGCCCCACCTCCCCCCAGATTGCTGGGGCAGAAGCAACTAGGATACCAGGCCCCGTATGACTGAGCTACCCTGTGTAAACAGCAGCAGAAGCAGCTTCTGCCAAGGCATTGATCCCTTAAAGGTACAGAGCTGGATCTTTTAAGCTGCCACCTCTCTGCCACAGCAGAGTACTGGTGATAAAATAATACACACAGGTGACTCAAACTAATGCCATAAAAAAGCAGGACCCCTGAGAAAATTGTAAGAAACACGGGTTAGGTTGATTCTTTGGTGTCCTTGTCTTTGATATTCCTGAAAGACTTGAGTTATTTTTTTTTTTAACCTTAGATCATCAAAGAGAAATGTAATTAGGGAAAGATGGGGGCAAAGTACTACTGTGACATTTAAACAGATTTAAAACTTCTCCAAGTGCCACTTCAGGGCCACAATTACTCCATTCACGGAGAGGGAGAAGGTTGGCAAATGGAAGTGGGAGCTGGGAACAATTGCATCTCGTTTTCTCTGTGTTTGGGGTTGACGTTTTGTTGCTGGTTTTTTTTTTTTTGTGGGGGGGAGGTGGTGCTTGGTCAGGAAGCCCTGTGTGGTGTGGATCTTGGCTCAGGTGATGTAGTTACTGCAGGCCTCGCCATTGCCACCTGCTCCTCACTCCTTTTGCTCTTGCTCCTCAGTGAGAGAGGGAGCCTTCTTTGTGCTCAGTTTCCCTCTAGCTCAGCCACCATCACTCTCCTCCTTCTGGCACCCACTGAAACACCTTCCACAGCCCCGGCTGTGGACACATGCCCTCAGACCTGCTCTGGCTCTCCTGCCTGTGAATTCTTTCTCCATCTAGATCGTGCACTGGCAGAGGGCAGGAACCTAGTAATCAGGCTTCTCCTCCTCCTCCTCCTCCTCTGCAGTCCCTCTCGACAGGCAAGGGCACACAGTAGGTCTTCAAGATGAAGTTTCTAGGTACCAAAGGCCAATCTCACTTTGGGGGGTGGGGGTGGGCAATGCTGTATTCATTCATCTGGATCCTAAGGATGGGGAGCTGCAGGGCCCCAGGCAGATTCTTTGCCAAGAGTTCGGAACTCAGGGTGAGAGCAAGAAGCTCAGGACACACTGCAGTTTAGCCTCGCAAGGCTGCATGGCTTGGCTTGGAGGCATCACCACGCAGTCATTCCTGCATTCATCCAGCCCTTTCAGTCTCCCGCTGGAAGCAGCAAAGGACAGGCCTGGGAAGAACCTGCTGTTTAGTTAGAGAGACCAAAGTCATACCAAGTGAAAAACCCCAGAACAGCAAACGGCAACAGATGGTTAAATGTCTTCCAGGCCTGAGGAGTTCTACATTTGAGAGAACAGAAACCCATCCAAGTTTTGTGTAATGATCTGTGGTGGGGGTAGCAGCCTTGAGGAGAGAGACATCCATGTGAAGGCAGGATATAAAAAGTGGTAGATGGCCAGAGAGCTGGGTGATGGCCTGGCTTTAGGGCCAGGAGGGCAAGAAGCAGCTGGTCTTCCAAGGTTATGTATATTGAGAACAAGCTGAAAACAGAGCTGACACCAGACCTCCAAATAAACATCTCTGTGGTCTCTATGGAGTGATTGCTCTTTCCAGACCTGCAGAGGGCAGTGAGGGTAGGCTGGAGAGACAGAGACTCACTTGCTCTCTTTAGAGAGCTCAAACATTGTTTGGGTAAAGAGACTGGCTCAGAGAGCTGAGTTACCACACAAAGGCATGACCCAACCACGTGAAAGGTACCGTCGATATATGCCAGGGGTCCCCGGAGAACGTGGAGCTTGTGTGGATAGAGGTATCAGGGAAGGCTTTCTGGTGGAGAGAGCTGGCCCTGTACGAAGGAGTGGGTCAA